GCAGAAATGTGAATGATGGCAACAGTGCACACAGCTCCTGCTTTTTTCTTTTTGTTTTTCCTTTTCTTTTTATAACACTGGGGGTTGAACCCAGGGCTTTTTCACTGAGCTGCATCCCAGCTCTATTTACGGATCGATTGATTGAGACAGGCTCCCGCTAAGTTGCCAAGTTGCCTGGCCTGTACCCAAATCCTCCTGCCTCAGCCTCTCAGAGTGCTGGGATGCAGGCATGCACCCCTGCATCTGGCTGAATGCAGGGTCCTCAAATACAGTTTTCATGACTTTTGAAAAATGGAATGAATTCAGGTGCACTGTATTCACCGTGTTTAAGTGTATGATTCAGACACATTTACGAGATTAAAAAGTTTCACCAGTTTTAAAACTTTTTCATTGTTCCTCCAAAGGACAGCTCATCAAACCGCCATGCCATAGTCTCTTTCTGTCTCCCAGTGCTACCAGGTCTGGTGACCGTGAATCTACCTGGTCACCGTGAATTTTCCCGTTGGGGCCATTTGGTGTCCATGGAGCTATCATGTCCTCCCGTGCCTGGCTGTCACTAGCGTGATGGTTTCAAGGGTGTCTTTGCACTTGTTCAAGCCTTTGCTGGTCTTCAGTTGTGGTAGTTTGGGGTTTTTGCAAGGGGAACAATATAATACAGGATACATATTTAATAAGATTATCTATAATAGTCACCTAAAGAATCATATACAAGAGAGTGCAGGAAATCTGTCCACACACTTAGGACCAAAGAATCCAGCTGAGGGCCTGGATCCCACCATAATGTCCTGCATGAGTCCAGCTGAAGACCTAGAGCCCATAACAACACCTCCCATGAGTCCAACTGGAGGCCTAGAGCCCACAACAATGTCTCACGCAGGCCTCTTTCATGGATCTGCCCTGGGAAGGCCCAAAGGTCAGTGGTGGAAGCTAGAAAGTCTGTGCCAGCGGGATGAAGGATCTGTGCCAGCAGGCTGAGGGATCTGCACTGGAGCCAGGAAGCAATGCGCAAAGTAAGAACTAGAGCTCCCTGGAAAAGTACGACAGCCATCCTCAGCAACAGTGAGGTCCCGAGCTCCTCCCATGATGAGAACAGCTGAGTTCCCATCAGGAAAGCCAGCGTGACAAGCTTCTCCAGGAGACTGAGCTGTGCACCATCTTCCCCTCTGGAGCCAGGCTGCAATGCTCAAAGTGGGGACCAGAGCTCCCCCAAAGTAAACCAAAGTCATTTTCAGTGACAAGGTCCCGAGCTCTTCAAGGATGAAAACAGCTGAGTTCATCAGGACAGCCAGCACGACAAGCTCCTCCAAGAGAACCAACAGCTCCTTACAGCTTCTCTCAGCTCCCAGCAGCCTCACTTCTTCTCCGGTTCTGCCTGTTATGCTGCTAGCAGCAGTCCTCAGGTGGGCCTCCCACACCCAGCACCACGCTGGTTCAGTTCAACTGGGTGTTACAAGTTGACCACCAGTTGTCAATCCACATCAGTAATGTTTGTTTTTTTCTTGTCTCATATCTAATAGAGGTCTTAACTGTTTTGGGGGAGGTGTGAGACAGGGTCTCAGAATGCAGTTCAGGCTGGCCCTAAACTTGTAGTCACCTTCCTGCCTCAGCCTCCCCAGTGCCGGGATGACAGGTGTGTGCCACTGCACCCTCCGTACTTAAGGATTTTTTTTAATTCTTTCAAGAAGGAAAGCTTTATTAAGATACCAAAATGTGAAATTAAGTTTTGTTTTTTTTTTTTCCTGAAGACTAGCTTATACACAGGAAAAGATGCAGATGTTAGGATTTTCAGTAATCGTCTTTGGGGGCACGTTAAAGGTCTTGTTCACAGAGTTCAAGTATGTATGTATGTGTTGATTGTTCAATAGACTTGCTGGACTAGGGGTCAAACCCAGGACCTTCACACTGGGCGACATCCCCAGCCCTTTTTAAATTTTATTTAAGACAGGATCTAAGTTGCTAAGTTGTCCAGGCTGAGCTTGAACTTGTGATCCTCCTGCCTCAGTCTCCCAGAGGACTGAGATTACAGGTTTGCACCACCAAGTCTGGCTTCTGCTACACTTAGCGTTCCCGGCCTCCTGTCCATGACATTTGGGCTGTTCTCAGTAGTTTAGGGCCGTTTCAGGTCAGGCAGCTGTGGACAGAGCTATGCGGTTCCTCTTGGGTTGAACTTGGGCAGGACAGCGCACTCATGGCTGCTGGAGCTCTGCAGTGGCTGCGCTGCTTTGTACCCGCACCAGGAGGGTGAAATTCCCGCTCCTTTGCATCCCATCTGGTGTTTGGGGGCTGCAGAGCTGACTCGGGTCTCTCCATCTGGATCCCTCCACCTTCGCCCTTCCTCAGCCTCCAGTGTCCAGTGTTTTTTGGTTTTGTTTTGTTCTGTTTTTGTTTTTTTGAGACAGAGTCTCACTTTGTAGCCCAGGCTGGCCTTAAACTCATAGCAATCCTCTTGCCTCAGCTTCCAGAGTGCTGGGATAACAGGTGTGCACCACCAAACAGGACTAGGATACCTTTCTTTCCATCCAGGAGCAATGCAGCCCTCCTTAGGAGAGTGGGGATCCTCAGGCTGGTAGGGTAGAGGTGCAGTGCTGCGGGGAGGTAGTGGCGTGGGTGTCACAGCCCCTGGTAAAGTAGGGGTGCAGGAGGCAGAGTGTTTCCGCTGGCAGCCGTGCCTGGGCAAGGGGGTATATGTCAGGTGCATAACTGTCTAAGGGGCTATCAGAATGTTTCCTGCCAGGCGTGGTGGCGCACACCTATAATCCCAGCACTCTGGAGGCTGAGGCAGGAGGGTCGTCGTGAGTTTGAGCCAGCCTGGGCTATATAGTGAGTTCAAGGTCAGCCTGAACTGCACAGCAAGACTTTGTTTCAGAAACAAAACAAAACAAAACAAAAAACATGTTTCCTAAACAAAACCAGTCATCTGGGGCTGTACGGTATTGCTTGCGCCATCTTCTTATCTATAGAGGGGAGCCCTGGCTGCTGTGTTGTGCCACCTCTGCAGGTGTGGCTCACAAGTGCCCTGCCCCTGGCTGGCCATCTGTCCGGCGGGCTTGCTGTGGCCCCGGGAACGTGCGGTCCAGTCCCACCGTGGGCCGCTGGCTCTGCGCCTCTCCGTCAGCACAGCTTCTGCAGCCAGAGGAGCTGGGTGGGGGTGGGCAGGGGAGGAAGAAACCTAATTATGCAAATTTTGATCTTAAAGCTTTATTCATGTGTTTCCTGGCAGGCTGTTGTTTAATCTCAAGAGCAAGATTGCTCAGAATTACCATATATTCTTGTTAATTGCATTAAAATTATAGCGAGGGTTGTTTTTGCTATAATCAAGAGTGATTTTGATTAATACTTAGGAAATCAAATGCCTCACAGACAGAGGGAATGAGCTGTCCTTCCCTTCCCTCCCCAGCACCCCAAAGGCTGCAGGCCGGAGAGTTGAGCGGTTTTGAAAGGGTTGAAGGCGCCTGCGCGTGTGTGGACCGTGCGCTTCCTCCCAGCTGTGCGAAGCTTAGGGCGGTGCTCTTTGCCTGAGACAGGAGGTCCTGGCTGGCACAGTGACAGGCTGGCACATGCCCGCTCCTGCTGGTGCTCTTCTCTGGCGTCAATAGAGCTGGTTGGCAGGGTCCAGGAGGACCCTGCTGGAGGAGACACAGTGACACATGTGGAGGGGACATTAGGCACAAGGTGAGAGTGGGCCGGAAGTGAGCAAGATGGCCCGGAGGTGGGCGGCGAGGCCAGGAGGAGCTGTGGGTAACAGCAGTGACACCTGGCCGCAAAGGCGGCTGGCAGGGTGGCATGTTTAGGAAGCCCTTAGCCTTGCCTCGGTTCCACAGGGGCGCTGTGGATTGTCCCAGAGCCCCATGCCTTGCCTCGACTGTGGGACAGCCTAGGGGAGTGGGGTCCCCCAGGGAACCTTCTGTACCCTGCTTGTGCCCCAGGATGAGGGAACCGCCTTGGACCTGTATCTCCTTGAGAACTTGATAAATTGCTCAGGTTGGGCCCAGACTTGTGACCCTCCTGTCTCAGCCTTGCAGTGTGTTCTTAATGGACTCGCTATATCATGCAGCCATCCCTGCTTTTTAACTGTGCAACATTTCTGACACCGCCCAGAGAAGCCCTGCACTGGTGTGCAGACCCTATTCCCCTGTCCCCAGCACCGCAGCTTTCCTCTTGGTGGGGGGAGGCCCTGGGGCACAGCTGGGTTCTGTAGGAAAGGTCGTCATTCTAGGACATGTGAGATTCCCTCGAGAACCTCGGCGGTAGACACCGCATTTGCGCGTGGCAAGAACAGTGAGGTGACCCTTTCAGTGGCAGCTGCATGGGCCAGCTGCACGGAGCGTGTGGATGCCTCCCGGAGCCCCGGAGCCTGGGTGCTGGCTGTCTGTTCCGTGCCTTGGAGGCCACTGCAGCAGGCTTGCTGGCCTGAAGTGCTGATTCCTGTCCTCCTGTCATCATCTTCCTCTCCGGGACTGCTTTCATCTTGTTCCTGCAGCTCGCTGGAGCTCAGGCAGCAACGGCCAAGCCATTCAGCAGTCAGAGTAAGAGGTGAGCCCGTTTCCTCATTCGCTTGCAGTGTTGCCGTGGCCAGCCAACCCAGAGGACATTAACTACTGTGCTGGCTTCGGTGCGGAGGCGTCAGTTTATCATGGCCAGTGTGGCCGAGTCTGGATTGAGGCAACAGGACTTAAAATGGTCCAAAGCTTCAGGAATGACCACTCGAGGTTTGTCTCCGCCTCTGGAGCACTCCAGGTGGGAGAGGAGCAGTGCTTGTTTGCAGCAAAGAGACGCTGAAACGTGGAACACACGTGCCAGTTTGCCACATAGCCTTCCCCGTGGTAGGCAGGGAGGTGTGAACCTCTTTCTCCTACCTGCAACCTCCTATTGTAATTGTTGAGTATGGTGGTGCACGCCTCTAATTCCAACACTCGGGAGGCTGAGGCAGGAGAATTGCCATGAATTTGATGCCAGCCTGGGCCACATAGTTCAAGGCCAGCCTGAACTGCACAGTGAGGCTGTGTTTCTTTCTTTTTTTTTGGTGCTGGGAATCGAACTCAGGACCTTGCACTTGCCAGGCAGGCACTTGTGCCGCTGAACTAGATCCCCAGCCCCAAGACTGTGTTTGAAAAAACAAAATAAAACAAAATATAGAAACAAACAAACAAACAAACTGGGGCCCAGGGTCCCCTTGCTAGAGGTCGGGGTGGGGGGGACAGCAGGCTTTCTCAGCAAGTGCAGCAGGTGGGATCTTGGTCAAACCCTAGTGGCAGTCCTTACTCCCTGGGTCGTTACCCATTCCAGCGAGCTTGGCCCTCCCCTCTGTGAAGGCTCCATCCCTGGGCTGATTTTAGTTTTACTCTCGAACCCGCAAGTTTGGGAGGCTCATGAACCCGTTGCATTTTCCAGGGCACCTTTGATTTGTTGGGTTCCGGATGCATTTGGCTGTGGTGTGGGTATTTATGGCAAGCCCATTAAGGCAGATGGATAGAAAATCTGTGATGACACAGCTGTCATTTACAGCTTGGAGCCCTTGGTCCCTCTTCTCATAGGCTTTCCTTGCATTGGTCCATGGTCTCACTGTTGACCAAATCTGTTTCTTGCTTTTTGTCTGTGATCCTAGGGATTGAACCCAGGCACCCCTACATCCCCAGCCCTTTGTGTTGTATTTTGAGACAGAATCTTGCTAAGTTGCCCAGGCTGGGCTCCAACTTGGAAATCCTCCTGCCTCAGTTTCCCAAGTAGCTGGGATTCCAGGCCTGCAGCACCACACCTGCCTATTTCCTGTTTGCTGAGTAGCTTTGTGCCCTTGGAGGAGTTGTGCAGACACAGCATGACTGAGTGGTGTCATGCTGAGTGGTGTCGAGGCTTTCTGCACACCCTTAAATACGGATACCATGTGAGTATTTGTGGCGAACCCTTTAAGGTGGGTGGATGGAAAATCTGCAGTGGGCCAGTTATGGTGGCACATGCCTGTCATCCAGGCACTCAGGAGGCTGAGGCAGGAGGATCGCTGTGAGTTCGAGACAAGTCTGGGCTACAAAGTGAGTTCAAGGCCAGTGTGAACTGCATAGTAAAGCCTTGTCTTAAAAAGACACACACACACAAAAAAATTCTGTGATGACACAGCTGTGACTTATAGCCCCGGCGTCCCCGGAATTCTTGTTCATATCCTCAGAGAAGAGGCAGGGTTTTCACATTAGAACTTGGAAGCACTTGAGCTGAGTACGTATTCATGTAGGGTTTGTACTGGGCTCGCTTCCAGAGAGCCCGGAAACTGCTTTGACACTCAGAAGAGAAAGGAAGAGCAGGGAAGGTGTATCACTGGGCACCTGCTCCTGGCACGGCACCCGCTCGGTGTCCTCCCAAAGCGGTGGCAGTTGCTCTGCCCTGGAGACACTTGGGGGTCCTCACAGTGAACACACCTGGAGGGAGTGCACTCCTGTGTGCTTGGCGGTGGGACACAGTGGGGGATCTTCTCTGTGCCACCCGACATAGTAGTCACCTGCCACATTTGGCTTTTGTTGTTGTTTTTGAGGAAGGTTGTCACTATGTAGTCCAGGCTGGCCTTGAGCTCGGGGCGATCCTTAGAATGTAGTTAGCACAGTCGGGGAGCTGCACTGTATTTTATTGGTTTTTTTTCACAAAACAAAGTTTTGCTTAGTAAATATATATATTCAAGAAATTGTGACAGGAAATTACAATTAAAAATTGCAAATACAGTATATATCCATGTACTCTACTTTGGTCTCAGATTATATGGGCAAATCACAGCTTCAAAATCTGTTAAGATGCACACACATACAGTATCTGCTGTGTGTCAGGGCCTAAGCAGTTCACCCCTTCTTCTGATCTTGTATTTTCTTGGCTCTAAGGATGGAGCCCATGGTCCCGGACAAGCTAAGCCAACACTCGGTGAGGTGTAACCCCATGCTTGAGCGTTCTTTCGGAAATCACTGTGGGTTTTGGAGGAAATTGTGGAGATAACACCAAGAGGTTCTGGACATTGCTATCTATGCATGTGCGAGAGGGTGGCACACTGTCATACAGCTCTGCGTATCTGCCATTTATAGCAGCAAAGGTTTGTGTGGGCACCATGGCGAGCTCTGGCCAGCACGCTGGGCAGGGCGCGTCTGGAGAGGGCGCACAAACATGGACGCATTGACCTGGACAGAAGCGCTTATAGTGCTTACCTGGACGGAGCGGAGGCTCACATTCCGGGGAAAGCTTCAGGGCCCCTCAGACGGCGTGTCTCAGCGATCAGACGTCTCTGCCAGGCTCTGGCAGACCTGGCTTGCAGCCAGCTCATGCCAGCCTTCTCTAACGAGGCTGCCCGCGCTTTGTTTGACAGCCTTCATTAAAATGCACCTGTGCCTTCAGATGCCAGCCGAGGTGAGCAGGTTGCAATAGGAGGTCAAGCTTGTGTTCCTTCCCAGAGGGAGGAGATGTGCTTCTCCCTGGCCCCCAAGGGTATCTGGGGCTGGCAGGGCACTTTCATTATTCAATAGATCTTCGTGGGGCCACACAGGGGCCATTTGCAAAGTCATGCTCAGTCTGAATAAACATCTGCAGACAGGTATTAGCGGCTCACTAAGTGCTTTTCCCACCCACAGAAATTCTTTGTGGCCCTCTGTAGCAGAGGGAGGTGGCTTTTCAGCTGGATGTTTGAATCCTGGCCCCCCAGATACAGGGATCGGGGCTGCAAACCGAGGCTAGGAAGAATCGGCTGCTTTCTGAAGTGTGTTGGTGCACGAGGGTCCCTGCCTGTGTCCCAGAATGAGGTGTCTGGGTAGGGCTGGCACGGAAGGGCGAGTATGTATTCCGCCTTGGTGTTAGCACGTGTGCTTGGTTGTAGGTGTGTGTGGACACAGGGCTTCATGTATGCGAGGCAAGTGCTGTACTGCTAAGCTACGTCCCAGCCCAACTGTAGGCTTTGAAGAAGTTTTTATTTCTGGTTTTGTTTTGGAGACATCATCTCACTATGTAGTCCAGGCTGGCCTTGAACTCACTATGTAGCTTAGGCTGGGTTCAAGCTTGTGATCCTCCTAGCTCAGCCTTCTGAGCGCTGGGATTATAGGGCATATGCCGTCATGGCTGGTTTGGAGGAGTCTTTACTAGCTCGGGATTTAGCTTGAGACTGCATAGTTTTATCCACAGAGG